ATTGTAACACATTCTCCAAAAAATTTAAAATCTTGTAGCGATTGAAATAATGATGTGAAATGACATCATTGTTTTATCAATACAGCGTGCAGTATGACAGTATAAACACGAGGTCACTGAGTAAGCCTATGTTGTTGCGTGCTGTCGGAGCAGGAACCGATTACTACTGGGACAAATCCGCTGCTGTAGAAAAACGTCCGAATTTAAGACGTGAGATTAATACTACGACCTGAAAAATAACCCGTGTTACATCAGAGCGAGTTTCATGGGCTTCCGTTCTGACCGTGCCACGCCAATAACTACACACAATACATTTGCAAGTATTTCATCAGATATAGATATAACACCATGTGACTCTACACGTTTACAGTAACAATACTTCCAGTCCCAGGCCACACCACTGATTTCCACGTATTTCCACGCCTCGAAGGCACGTGCAACTGGTCAGAACGACAGCTTTTTGATTTCACGTAATAAATTCTGCACTAGATTTGTCTAAACTACCATTGTTGTATGGTATTAACCGACCCTTTAAATTTTACATTTCTTTAATAGTAAAACAGCAGTTTTAACATGCACGCGCTTGAACTACACTTGTATCTTTGTCTATACACACTGAAGTTTTCTCCCGATGACTTCACCACTGGTAAACTGATAACAGGCTGACTTTTAAGATAAATCCTATCAACTCCGATGAGAACGCTACGGTCAGTTTAAGACAGTGTTATGCTGTTCCAACAGTGACGCATCAACAACACGGAAGGTCACGCGCGTGAAATCATAGGAAAGAAAACCCAATTTGTCCTGGTAGAAATTGCGGAAATTGAGCTTAAGGATAAGCTCTCCATGTTTAATAGCAGATAGAAAACTAGGTTCACAAGACAAAGAACACCGCAAAAGGTGTCGAGAAAATTAATTACTATTTCTTTTGATAACATTTTTAGATAGGCTGTTAGTTCAGCAATGGAACATTATAATTTAGATTTTCTCCCCGGATCAATGGTTTAACCTTGTGGTACTGATATCTTCCGATCGTTAGCGAGACCTTGATGAAAAAGTCTAATAATTGCCTGCTGGAGAATTTTGCTGGAGAATTTCTGAAGCTTTAAGAATCTTCAACACTTTCATTTTACTATTATATACTATAATATATAGGATGCACTAATGATGTATTGTCTTTGAAGAAAATTATTGACCATAGTTATCACCAGAATTCTAATCTAGGTTTGTAAAAACTATGAAGGCATTATGGAAATGCATTATTTCCGCGTGCAGTGTGAAGTTAGATATAAACATGGGTCTCAAATAATAAAATCCTTTTGAATTAGCCTTTTACTGGATAGGTCGTTGATGGGGAGTAATACTGGAGTCAAAAAATGGATGAAATATCTACTATAACCTGCCGTATATTTGAACCGGAAGTGAAGCTAATAGACATGAATTATTTAGCTCTGTTCTGTAAAACGTACTAGAGTACATCTACATACGCAAGGTTTCTTGTTTTTTTTTTTTTGTGGTCACGACATCGCAATAAAGTACAAAAAATCACAAGTACAACATTCTTAGTTAAGATCTTAACTATTGGATGAAGGACATTCTGCTACTCCTGACGGCACCGTTGAACTGATAGCCGTCACAGACTCGGACACGCGTCTAATAAATGGTCCGGCTGCGACAAGAGAGCCGGATTTAGCAGCCGTATGGATGAAGCCCGTGGTTTATACTTAAAACGACCTGTCATCCCCGTTATTACTCTATTTGCTTACTCGGTATCAATGTAACATGGCCTGTAACGGTTAACATTGCATCAAAATTTATTTCTTAAACAAAAAACACATCTTGAATGAATGCCGTGTTTTAGAAGACGATGCAAAACTATTACTGTGCAATATCAACCTGAACTACGTCATCAAGTTTAGTGTAATAATGTAATGTTCGTATACATCTGGTTTACTGAGGTTGATAAGTCGGACCACTTTTACTTTAACCGATAACAAATTATATTTATTTAAAAAAAGTAATTTGGGGAGTTGTTAATGTGATTTAAGGGACTGAGTTTTGATCGTGTTTTTCGTTCTGATCTGTACGGGGTAAATTAAAATGTCTTCACACGGCGTGTCATTCAGTGGGTGGAGACTGGTACTTCTTGGCATCTGGTGAATTTCTGCAGCATTTTCAAACAGGATTACAAAGCAAAGCAATTAGGATTATTGAATCCAATTCTATAACTCTAGGCATGGTGGTTTTAATTGGTCTGTCATTATTTGGTAGTGTTTATGTCAGATGTGTAATTGTTGAGTGAAGAGTGTTCAGCCATCGACTGTAACAAACGGGAGGGAGTTATTCAGTCATAACATATTGGGACTATTTCAACCCTCTTCTGACGTCACAGAGGACACTCTGAACAGGATGATTGTGTTTCACCTATTATCATAAACAGTCACAGAACAACGTAGACACACTGTTCTTTATCGTTTGACGGCCTGGTTTGTGGAACAATGTTTTAGATGGTTTACCCTCTGAAATGATATTTGTAAAACAAAAATAAGAAATGATAAAAATAAATATTTATGAAATATAACAGAATACAGCGGTGAATAACATGACCTCCTTTAGTGAAAAATTAACAGTAATATTGGTATAATTAATGGCCAATGTTATCACACAAATGATACGCTGATTTTAGCCGAAACATTCTTCATACGATGTAAGATTCTTTACTGTAGTACACTGATAAATGAGATTTAATTTAAATACTGAAAAGAAATAAAGAAATGATCTTTAGAAATGGTAGAAAATGAAGAAGATAGATGATATGATAATGGCTTTGAGCTAGACATTGTGAGCAGTTATAATCACTTCGGAAGGATGTTAAATCGGTAAATGTACTGAGCAAGTTGTTGATAAATGGACTGAGCGAGTTGTTAATAAAAACAGGGAGCGAGATGCTGATAAATGTATTGAGCAAGTTGTTGATAAATGGACTGAGCGAGTTGTTAATAAAAACAGGGAGCGAGATGCTGATAAATGTATTGAGCGATTTGTTGATAAAAACACGGAGCGAGTTGTTGATAAATGTATTGAGCGAGATGTTGATAAATACACGAAGCGAGATGTTGATAAATGTATTGAGCGATTTGTTGATAAATGGACTGAGCGATTTGTTGATAAATACACGGAACGAGTTGTTGATAAATGTACTGAGCGAGTTTGTTTTATAAATGTACTGAGCACATTGTCGATAAATATACAGGGCATATAGTTAATAAATGTAATGGGCGAGCTGCTGAAAAAGTATTTATGTGAGTTTTAAACAATTGTAACGTGAACGTTGAACACGATGGTGAGTAGAATATACAAAGCTGGAGGTAAGTTGTGAATGTATTTTGTATTGTTTTGATTTGTTGGTAGTGTAAATATTCACTACTGATAAACCAATTTATTTCAAGTATAAAAAACACAGAATGTCGTATCACATTCGACGCCATGAACGTCAGTGTTTTGGCGACGCCTCACCTGTAAACGCTCTCGTACCTTACGTCACAAGAAGAATATTAAGTACAGTGTCGTCAGTCAGGCATACAGCGGTTTCGTCCAAATACCTTAGATATACACCTGTCATCTTGTATCAACAACTATCGTGGTATTCACCGAAGCGTGGTAACATCATTTTATCACATCTCGAGGCTTATGATCTTGGTCCACAAAACCAGAATTACGTCGACTATCTGTCTCCATAATGTTTACAGTATCACCACAAACGTAGGTCATAACGATGTTCAAAAGGGGGTGATTAAACGGTGTGACATGGTTGAGGAAACGATCTCCATATTGATATGTACTAGCATTAATATAATATATATAATATTTATACATAATCTCATACAATGTTTTATTATATCTGCTCCAGTCACTGACAAATCGATATAATATTTATACATAATGTCATACAATGTTTTATTATATCTGCTCCAGTGACTGACCAATCGATGTAATATTTATACATAATGTCATACAATGTTTTATTATATCTGCTCCAGTGACTGACAAATCGATATAATATTTATACATAATGTCATACAATGTTTTATTATATCTGCTCCAGTCACTGACCAGTGACTGACCAATCGCTATAATATTTATACATAACATCATACAATGTTTTATTATATCTGCTCCAGTCACTGACCAATCGATGTAATATTTATACATAATCTCATACAACGTTTTATTATATCTGCTCCAGTGACTGACCAGTGACTGACCAATCGCTATAATATTTATACATAACATCATACAATGTTTTATTATATCTGCTCCAGTGACTGACCAGTGACTGACCAATCGCTATAATATTTATACATAACATCATACAATGTTTTATTATATCTGCTCCAGTCACTGACCAATCGCTATAATATTTATACATAACATCATACAATGTTTTATTATATCTGCTCAAGTTTCTGATCAATCGCTCCCACAGAGAATATCCATTCTAATGACAAGTTGCTGAATTTTATACTTTTGTCTGAAATCGTCCATCGTATAGTCACAGAGTAATGGGGATAGATTCATTATTGATGCATGTACGTGTCCGCTAACAGTTATTGTGGTTTGACTCCAGTGTCAATATCTCGAGTCATCTAATGTTAACGAGTCAATTAAATTGAAACAAATAAATAATTTACGTGCAAATATTAGGATGGATGGTCGTGTCATGTTTACAAGTAATAGAAATGACGTTTAATATTAAACACTACTAACCAATTAGCCGTTCCCAATCCTCATCGGAAATGAAATATTAATCAAAATATGTTGTTTGTCGACATATTTCCTAATTGGATTTCCGGAAATGTAAGTTATGTAAATTGAGTGTGTGTTGGGTGTATTAATAGGGAGGCCCGCTATAAATAGTGGCTACTACTACTCACTTCTCCATTCCAACTTCCCAGTCAGTGTATTGGTAGCTCGGCGATACACACACACTACCTAACACACGGTCGGCGCTGATATGGTTACATGTGAGTACACAGCTTTATTTTATACGTTTTCCTTAAGTAGAAAAAAAATCTCTACCGCTGTAAAATAACTATTTTAGAAATGTTAATTTGTTATTTGGGTCAAAACATAAACTCAATGTCTGGACTTAGCAGTTATTCTGGTTTTGTCGCTGTTGATATTGAAATTGCGTTTGATCTTTCACTTCACAGATACTGAGATTCGTAGACAACTCGGAGAGACTCGTCGTGTGTTATGAAAAGAACAATAAATTTATCAAATTTGGCGAGTTAAAATATCGCGACAAATGTCGCCGAGTCATATAAAATTAACAGTATAACAAAAAATTGCCCATCTAACTTTTGGAAACATTGTCTTACATATCATCACACATCACAATTTTTTTCTATCTTTGTAATTTAATTTTTCAAATAAATTATTTTTGATGTCTTTTGATTATTCTATTATCATATTTTGATGTTACTTGATGAGGAAGTTTTCAGTAGAAAATCGTTTACATTTGTTTCTGTTTATTGCTTCTTAAAGAAATTGTTAATAAATTCACAATGACAAAATCAGGGTCTCTCTAAACATACAAGTTGTTGATGTGGTGTTTTACTCAAGTTTGGAGGATCTTGTAATCTTAGTGATTTCATGTAATTTATGAAAGTAATATACTAAGTTTAAAGTGAACCACTGGTGAGCTCAGATGAAATGTTCGATGGAAGTAATAGATTTTAGTTGTGTAATGACTGACATTAGAAACATTAATTCTGTTTAAAAAATCTAACGTAAGAACTGATAGTTACAAAATCAGTTAAGTGCACATTTAAACTCCAACTGAGTGGATAAACAACACATACAACGCTACACTATCAAATGTGTCATTATCACCGCAGAGCTCTTCACTTTTAACATCCTGTCTCGAATCTGTTAAGTTTGTTGCAATTCAATTTTGAATTATATTCTATTGAAATCTATGAGTTTGGATACATCTCAAAAACGCCTCGTGTAAAAAAATCACACAAACACACTCAGCCGAGAAAAAGACAAGAAAAGGTAATCTCAATTTTACCTTCAAACTGGACAGGTAAATAATGAGTATATTTAAGTCATTTACAGACTTATGTTGGATCTAAATATTAAAACAAACAAACAAACAAACAAAACAAAACAAACAAACAAGAACATGCTGCCAGAACCTAACACGATGTCAATCTCTTTCTTGAATCAAATGCCTTTTTCATTGAGGAGAAAATGTTGATATTTCGGATTTTTGTAGATAGCGAGTTTGGAGGTTTCAGCCAGAGAGATAGTAGTGTCTTTGTAGATGGTCTGTGTATTGGGATTCCATTTCTAAATCAGTATTATTTCCGAGCCTTTTCTATAATCTGGGTGTTAAAGACACAAAAGTTTCTAGTAGAAATTTCCTTTCAGTGATTTACCGTTGTAAGTCTTCAATCTGTTGCGATCAGATTAAGCATGGACACAGACACCTAAATCTTATTTGAAAAATATCTGATTTTTGTGGTTTACATTCCATAACTGTTTGTAATTTTTATAACTATGGCTGGTATATATCAGTATGATTTTTTTCCAAAGATAAATACTTGATAATCATGACTATGATTTGACTGCAATGTGTTTCGGCTCTGTATTATTTTGATGTGCTTTAAGTTGGTAACGACCGGACACTGCTCTCGGTAGTCATTCATTAAATCACGTGTAGAATGCTCGTTTTAATTTTTTCCACTTTCTTTTTAGATATGGATACGAAACTGTTATGGTTGACAGCTCTGGTTGTGGCAATGTGCGCAATCTCTCTTACTTCCGGTATGTCACTTTACGGAATGTGCCTGACGACATGTTCCAAGTGCTCGGACGAGTTCGGCCCTAGATTTAACGCAGGGATGTGTCGAGAAATGTGTGGGGAAACGAATGGAAAAAGTATAGAATCATCATGTGAAACAGGTTTCGACGTTGATAAGCGCTCGAAAGAGAGCGTCCACATTTGCCGGAAATACTGTGTCTCGTGCGTACTGCGATATGGCCATAGTTATAATGTCGCCAAATGTGCTAACCTGTGTATGGATACGGAGGGCACCAGTATCGACCCCGATTGTATGAACATGGACATCTGGAATACAAATTTCAGACGCAGGAATAATTAACACCATAGGGGAAATATCCTAAATTTATTTTTGCATGAATGAGAAAAAGTAATTTATTTTGTTATGGAAACAAATGTGTGAGCTGTAAGACGTGAAACTTTCCGTGTTATTTTATTCTTGTGGACGTACTTTCCTGTGACAAACAGGGTGCCGTAACGGACTCATATCTTCTTGTGCTATAGGTGGGTTAGGATAGAGATGTTCCGAGTGACCAGGTATTTGCTGGATAAATGTACCGTTCACACTGATTGCATTTCACTACGACAGGAGACGGTAACTAAATACAAGGATATTATTTCTTTTTTATCATCCGTTTATCTACGGAGCGGAGATATTGTTCGTTTATCTCCATAACACTTTGGAAACTATCCAGTTCCTACTGGTACATTCGTATCGTATTTGAGAAAGGAACTATTGGATCATTTAAATCCTACGAAGTCTGTACTCCTTGTCTTAAGACGGAGAAAAAACTGCCAAAGCTGTTTTATGTACTCCGTGTCTAAAGATGGGGGAAAAAACTGCCACAGCTGTTTTATGTACTCTGTGTCTTAAGACGGAGAAAAAACTGCCAAAGCTGTTTTATGTACTCCGTGTCTAAAGATGGAGAAAAAAATTGCCAAAGCTGTTTGCTGTAATCCTGTCTAAAGACGGAGAAAAAACTGCCAAAGCTGTTTGATGTAATCCTGTCTAAAGACGGAGAAAAAACTGCCAAAGCTGTTATGTAATCCTATCTAAAGACGGAGAAAAAACTGCCAAAGCTGTTTTATGTACTCCGTGTCTAAAGATGGAGAGAAAACAGCCAAAGCTGTTTTATGTACTCCGTGTCTAAAGATGGGGGGAAAAAACTGCCAAAGCTGTTTTATGCACTCCTGTCTAAAGACGGAGAAAAAACTGCCAAAGCTGTTTTATGCACTCCTGTCTAAAGACGGAGAAAAAACTGCCAAAGCTGTTTGATGTAATCCTGTCTAAAGACGGAGAAAAAACTGCCAAAGCTGTTTTATGTAATCCTATCTAAAGACGGAGAAAAAACTGCCAAAGCTGTTTTATGTACTCTGTGTCTAAAGACGGAGAAAAAACTGCCAAAGCTGTTTTATGTACTCTGTGTCTTAAGACGGAGAAAAAACTGCCAAAGCTGTTTGATGTAATCCTGTCTTAAGACGGAGAAAAAACTGCCAAAGCTGTTTTATGTACTCTGTGTCTTAAGACGGAGAAAAAACTGCCAAAGCTGTTTTATGTACTCTGTGTCTAAAGACGGAGAAAAAACTGCTAGAATTCTTATAGGACCTCCGCGTGTAAGACGGATGGGGAAACTTCTGGAGGTCCTCTCTGCGCACAGTGTTATTAAATAGCTATGTTGCTTTTTATTTTAAGTCGCTCTGTATCACGTGACCTGTCTATTTTTGTTGATAATGTGCCACATTCCGCTCAATGTGTTTTACTGTTTTACTGTCGTTGTATGTTTACAGATCTCAACCTGGTGATATATTTAATTTCAATCTGTGATGATGTTCATGTCGCATATTAAAAACGCCTTTGATTAATGCATATTTTGTATTTATTTTTCTACAATTTTCTAGCGTATTCTATTGTGAACTTTAGATTGAGATGTAATATATCAGCTATGCTATTTACCACGCGTTTATACTTTATTAATTTGAAATAGAAGTCTGAACTATACTAGTCGTTTGTAACATTATCAATACTTGTGTGTTTAAGGATGTGTAATACAGTTCAGTATACCATCGCTGTCAATCTAGTAATATAGAAAACATAGTATCACAGAAGGCCTTTAATCGATCTGGTAACATAGTTTAACGATGTTTCAACATTTCACTGATTCAATATGTTAACGACATTTTAATGCTGAGTGTGTCGCTGATCCAGTGTAACAAACTGATGGTGTTTTAGTGTAAAAGAGAGTTTTACTCTGACCCAGTGTAACATATTGACGATGTTTTAGTGTAAATGAGAGTGTGTAGCTGACCCAGTGTAACATATTGACGATGTTTTAGTTTAAAAGAGATTGTGTAGCTGACCAAGTGTAACAAAGGGACGATTTTTTTAGTGTAAATGAGAGTGTGTAGCTGACCCAGTGTAACATATTAACGATGTTTTAGTGTTAATGAGTGTGTGTAGCTGACTCAATTAAATGGATTTACAAGAAAGTGTTTTACCATGACCAAGTTGTAATAATTTAGTTAGGGTAATGTATGGACGAGGTTTGATTTACTGTTCAGGTAACGCTATGGACGAGGTTTGATTTACTGTTCAGGTAAAGCTATGGACGAGGTTTGATTTACTGTTCAGGTAAAGTAAAATAAAGCTATGGACGAGGTTTGTGTAAAGCTATCGAGGTTTGATGTACTGTTCAGGTCATGACCAAAGTTTGATTTACTGTTCAGGTGAAGCTATGGACGAGGTTAGACTTACTGTTCAGGTGAAGCTATGGACGAGGTTTGATTTACTGTTTAGGTAAAGCTATGGATGAGGTTTGATTCACTGTTCAGGTAAAGCTTTGGACGAGGTTTGATTCACTGTTCAGGTAAAGCTATGGACGAGGTTTGATTTACTGTTCAGGTAAAGCTATGGACGAGGTTTGATTAGCTGTTCAGGTAAAGCTATGGACGAGGTTTGATTTACTGTTCAGGTAAAGCTGTAAAGCTGTGCACGAGGTTTGATTTACTGTTCAAGTAAAGCTGTAAAGCTGTGCACGAGGTTTGATTAACTGTTCAGGTAAAGCTATGGACGAGGATTGATTCACTGTTCAGGTAAAGCTATGGACGAGGTTTGATTTAATGTTCAGGTAAAGCTATGGACGAGGTTTGATTTACTGTTCAGGTAAAGCTATGGACGAGGTTTGATTTACTGTTCAGGTAAAGCTGTGCACGAGGTTTGATTTACTGTTCAGGTAAATCTATGGACGACGTTTGATTAACTGTTAAGGTAAAGCTGTAAAGCTGTGCACGAGGTTTGATTAACTGTTCAGGTAAAGCTGTAAAGCTATGCACGAGGTTTGATTTACTGTTCAGGTAAAGCTGTAAAGCTGTGCAAGAGGTTTGATTTACTGTTCAGGTAAAGCTGTAAAGCTATGCACGAGGTTTGATTAACTGTTCAGGTAAAGCTGTAAAGCTATGCACGAGGTTTGATTAACTGTTCAGGTAAAGCTATGCACGAGGTTTGATTTACTGTTCAGGTAAAGCTATGGCCGAGGTTTGATTAACTGTTCAGGTAAAGCTATGCACGAGGTTTGATTAACTGTTGAGGTAAAGCTATGCACGAGGTTTGATTAACTGTTCAGGTAAAGCTATGGACGAGGTTTGATTTACTGTTCAGGTAAAGCTATGGCCGAGGTTTGATTAACTGTTCAGGTAAAGCTATGGACGAGGTTTGATTAACTGTTGAGGTAAAGCTGTAAAGCTATGCACGAGGTTTGATTAACTGTTCGGGTAAAGCTATGCACGAGGTTTGATTAACTGTTCAGGTAAAGCTATGGACGAGGTTTGATTCACTGTTCAGGTAAAGCTATGGACGAGGTTTGATTAACTGTTGAGGTAAAGATGTAAAGCTATGGACGAGGTTTGATTAACTGTTCAGGTAAAGCTGTAAAGCTGTGCACGAGGTTTGATTTACTGTTCAGGTAAAGTTGTAAAGCTGTGCACGAGGTTTGATTTACTGTTCAGGTAAAGCTATGGACGAGGTTTGATTAACTGTTCAGGTAAAGGTATGCACGAGGTTTGATTAATTGTTCAGGTAAAGCTGTAAAGCTGTGCACGAGGTTTGATTTACTGTTCAGGTAAAGCTATGGATGAGGTTTGATTCACTGTTCAGGTAAAGCTATGGACGAGGTTTGATTCACTGTTCAGGTAAAGCTATGGACGAGGTTTGATTTACTGTTCAGGTAAAGCTATGGACGAGGTTTGATTTACTGTTCAGGTAAAGCTGTAAAGCTGTGCACGAGGTTTGATTTACTGTTCAGGTAAAGCTGTAAAGCTGTGCACGAGGTTTGATTAACTGTTCAGGTAAAGCTATGGACGAGGTTTGATTTAATGTTCAGGTAAAGCTGTGCACGAGGTTTGATTTACTGTTCAGGTAAATCTATGGACGACGTTTGATTAACTGTTAAGTTAAAGCTGTAAAGCTGTGCACGAGGTTTGATTAACTGTTCAGGTAAAGCTGTAAAGCTATGCACGAGGTTTGATTTACTGTTCAGGTAAAGCTGTGCACAAGGTTTGATTAACTGTTCAGGTAAAGCTGTAAAGCTGTGCACGAAGTTTGATTAACTGTTCAGGTAAAGCTGTAAAGCTGTGCAAGAGGTTTGATTTACTGTTCAGGTAAAGCTGTAAAGCTATGCACGAGGTTTGATGAACTGTTCAGGTAAAGCTGTAAAGCTATGCACGAGGTTTGATTAACTGTTCAGGTAAAGCTATGCACGAGGTTTGATTAACTGTTCAGGTAAAGCTATGGCCGAGGTTTGATTAACTGTTCAGGTAAAGCTATGCACGAGGTTTGATTAACTGTTGAGGTAAAGCTATGCACGAGGTTTGATTAACTGTTCAGGTAAAGCTATGGACGAGGTTTGATTTACTGTTCAGGTAAAGCTATGGCCGAGGTTTGATTAACTGTTCAGGTAAAGCTATGGACGAGGTTTGATTAACTGTTGAGGTAAAGCTGTAAAGCTATGCACGAGGTTTGGTTAACTGTTCAGGTAAAGCTATGCACGAGGTTTGATTAACTGTTCAGGTAAAGCTATGGACGAGGTTTGATTAACTGTTCAGGTAAAGCTGTAAAGCTATGGACGAGGTTTGATTAACTGTTCAGGTAAAGCTGTAAAGCTGTGCACGAGGTTTGATTTACTGTTCAGGTAAAGCTGTAAAGCTGTGCACGAGGTTTGATTAACTGTTCAGGTAAAGCTATGGACGAGGTTTGATTAACTGTTCAGGTAAAGCTATGCACGAGGTTTGATTAATTGTTCAGGTAAAGCTGTAAAGCTGTGCACGAGGTTTGATTAACTGTTCAGGTAAAGCTATGGCCGAGACTTGAGTTTTCAATGAAGAACGCACGGCCACAGCTTTCCAGAGGTGCTATCGAAGTGATCCCAATCGACGGATGAAAACCATTAAACATTTATCTTATGTTTCTTCATTACTATAATGGGTAATAGAAAACATCCTACGTTTATTTCTAGTCTGATATTACTATAGCGTTACTCTAACAGTCCCCGGACGTTTGACTCGGCATACGTTATAGTGTTTTATTGGCCCTGTTAATATCGTCATTAACATCAGTATGACAATAAATGTTACCTCACCACCACGTAACATTATATTATAGTACGACATCAATAGTCACTACACTACTACACCACGTCACATTATAGTATAGTACGACATCAATAGTCACTACACTACGTCACATTATAGTATAGTACGGCATCAATAGTCACTACACCACGTCACATTATAGT